TCGCTTTCTATTGTCATATTTTCACTTTGCCGCAGTTTGGCGATTCCTTCATCATCCGTTTTGGAAAAGCGTCCCAACCTACAGTAATCTGTATTGGTAAGACTGAGTTACGGTCAAATGTCATCGAAAGAGACTAACGTGTTTGATCATCTTCAATGAATCATACCACAAGATCTCATACATCCAATAGCTTTTGCCCATAAGCATAATAAGTATTCCTACACCGAAGTGTGACAAATAGTTCATGACTCGTCCAAGACCAGACTTTATAGTGTATTGCACCTCCCTTTGCTCCTCTAGTTGCCTGGGAGTTGCATTTAAGCAGGCCACTTCACAATGGTATTTGAGCAACTGCCGTGCTTGATGCATCTCGGTGCATCTAAGATGCAACAGCTCTTGAAGCACTGTTCATGATGAGATGAGCACGAGGTGTCTCTAGCGTAGGAAATGATGCCAGTTGCATTTCACTCTACGTATGCTCAAAGACCATGGGTTCGTAGCCTGCTTAGATGTCCCCCTCCCACGCACAGAAGCACATTCCAGGAGCAGGTGACGCAGCAATATTCCGTGTATTCTAGTCTTAGAAGTTTCATGCATTACTTATGATAATTGTTAAAGTTAAACAGAATTTTATTGTCCTAATTTTAGGCTCACTTTTAATTTTCACTTAAATTTAGTGTCAATTCAGTTTGCCATTTTGTGAGTCGAGGCGAATTGCAATTGTGAAGTATATGCTTCCCACCGCAGGTCATAAGTATTGCAAGTTTTTACACGACTACGCCAGACATCATGTAGCCTCTGTCATTTGCAGATCAAAAACTTGCCACCTGCTCATTGGCTGCTTGCCGTGAAACATAGTGAGTGCATTCCATGCTGAAGGGAACTACCAGTTGATAAGGGAAATTTTCAAGCCGTGTCTGATATTTCACCTGAGGTTTGAATCTGAAATCTATAAAATGCAAAGCAAACTACAAACCCTGTGCCTCGTTGTCTCCATTCCTCGCCTCAAAGCGGAAGTGTGCAAGGTTTAATCACAATTAATCGATTAATAACATGATCCTATGACACTAACTCGTATTTCTGATTGGTGCATTGTCATAATCATATACAGAAGTCATGCACTAACTACATCTAGATGCAAATTGAGGAAAACAATGAGAAAAGTTTTGCTTTGTTACGATTTGGACCCGCATATCTGAAGTGCAACCGGAAAACAATATACTACACGGGGCGACGCCATTTTTCATGTCTGTTCAGATCGCCGTCTTGCGCTGTTTACATAGGCAGAATATTTCTGGTTTGTGTTGTCCGATGCATCTGCAGCTTTACAACACTCTTGCTTCCCAGGTTACTGCATTTTAGAAAGAAAAATTCTTCCTTAAACCTGGTGTTCCTCTATTTTGTTCCTTCATATTCCCCACTAACCACGTGGTCAGAATTGCCATGTTTGGGCTCTCACACTAGAAGCCCATGAGTTGGAGTAAATGGCGTATTCTGAGCCAATATGTCTAATGTGGCTTACCTCCTTTTCTTGATTTCTACAACAGTGCCCTGAAGAACATAGGGTCATTTCTCGCACGCGGCCCTGGCGTTTATTCGTCTATATGCCTCGAAGCCAACGTTGCTGCAGACAGTTCACCGTCGCATTTGCTCTTTCGGTTAGGTATAACCATGTATAAGCCAATCAATCGCTGAGCGGTACGACGGCAACGCTGTCTTGATAGGTAGACATGGCGTTAATCGTTGGTGCCAACGACTCGTTCGTGTCAGGTTCTCTTGACGAGATTAATCACGTCATTAATCACAACAATAGGAGACATAGAAATTGTCATATGTCTCAGCGCAGAGTCACAGCATCAATCAATCACATAGCAGCACCCCACCGACCTCCGATGATCGAGGTTGCAATGACGCTTGAAATATTTTAACGGGTTTGCGGGGCGAGAGATGTTATAATAATATTGTTTTGGATAAATTATGTTTTTGAGAAGATATTTCCATATGAGCAACAGCAGATATAGAATTTAGTAATTTGAGTCTTTGAATAACGTCTCTGATACATGAGTGATCAGTTAGTCAGAGTAAAGCCGTTGCGCGCCGTTGATACCTCTGCTTTTGATTCAATACAACATCTGAAAAATCTTAAAATGCCATGGAAAACCTGAATACACCGCGTTCATTTTGGAAAGGATGTAGGCAGGAATCGTCTGCTTTCAAAGTAGAAGGAGAGCCGTCTGAGTGGTTTCCTTTTGTCATGAAATTTGCCAGGGAGATGTGCTTTCGCCTTTGTCATTCAACATTGTTCTCAACTTTTTTTTCTTTGAATCAATGCTGAACCTAGCAATGAAGAAAGTCTCATTCTGAAGGAAAGGCGCAGATCAAGATATCTGGCTAGATATCTTGTTGAGCTTGTCCTTGTGAGCAG